CCATTTCTCACCTCAGGGAAAGTCATAAAACAGTTGGGTGCTAATGACTTTGTGAAAGGGAAAAAGTTCTACACTTAGAAACTTCGAAAGAAGGGATTTGGCCTGTACCGTCCGCGGGCCGCAGGTTGTGCACCCCTGTTTTAATTAATGTTTCAGAGCACTTTCCTTATGTATTAGAGTATTTCTTTTATGTAATTAAATTATTAGTGCTTATTGAAGTAAGAAATTGGTGTTAAGTGTTAAAGGTTCTTTTGAACAAGGAAATTTTTATGACTTGAAAATTAAGTGTAAGAACATTGAGTAGTTGACAAATTATAATAGTTTTATTGTATTCCTTTTATATTTTCATATACAGATATCCCTTGTACAAAATTGTGTACAAATTGGGGATATCCCCTGTACAATGCTGTTTCTGGTTTTGCTCTAACAGTTTGAATTTGGAAAAATCCTCTGTACAAAATTTTGCAACTTTTAAGTGAAAACTCCTTTATTCTATATTTTTTTCTTCCTTGTTTTAATTTTTCTATCAACCATGTGTTGTTGTTGCTTTCAGTCTTTAGCCTTTAAGACTCACTGTGTTTTGTTTTTATAGCTTAATTTTTGTATTTAGTTTATTTATTTAAACATTTTTAGGTAAGTGTTGTTAACTTGTTTTTAACCATAGGAAACTAATCATTCATAAAAATGACTAATGAAATACAGTGGTATCTTGGTACTGGAACTGTTCCCAACTGGAACAATTCTTAAAATAACAATTTAATCAGGAAACCCCATAATAAAAAATACAAAAACAAATAGAAAAGTAGCACAGTAAAATTATACAGAAGATAGAAATATAGTAAAACTACATATATTTTTCTATTTTACAAATATAAAAAGTTATTTCCAATTCAGTGTTAGGAACATGATTTTTTTTTAATTTACAAAAATAACTTATAACAATTGTCTAATGTTTTTGTAATAACCTTTGCAAAATTATTTATATGAAATTAATTATTATTGTATAATTAATTAGTTCATCTTGTCTAAAAATTAACAATAAATTAGAAGTTTTATGCACACTATAAAGTAACAAATTTTTTTGATTGATTTATTAGTTTTTATAATTGGAATGTAGCAAGTAAAAAAATGTAATAAAATTATCGTGGAGAATAAAGTATGATAGTCAGTCAGATGTTTTTTTTTATGTGCTTTTATTTAACCTGCTTTGTGTCTTTCCTTCAAATCTTGTAACTCAAATTTCATCCCCTTCTAATTAAGATAAGTATGTCCTAAAAGTTTTAGCCTTCTAAATTCTATAATATACTTTAAGAAGTATATTAAAATTGTTTATAGTTTGGATGTAAAATATGTATACCATTCATTTTTAGAATTTTTTTTTTTTATTCTGAATGATTAGCATATTTTAATTTTCTTGTAACTTTGTCTGTCAATTGTGACAAAGTTCCAAGAAAATTAAAATATGCTTTGTTATAAGAACAATAAGTGTGTTTGCTTACATTTAAATTTTTTTATTGGTTAATTTTTTCACAATAGTGGTTTTATATATATCCCGACTTACGTAAACCCAGAGTTACACGATTTTCAAATCTCGTCGATTCATCTTTTGTTTGAGCACCACGCATCTCTTGATTACTCATTCCCCCCACCCCCCACACTATTGTTCAGCTTACGTGTTCAGACGTGTTGTGCAGAATCAACATATAGCTACAATTTATTTCTGTGTTTGTTATATCTACGGAGACTTGAGAGACTCTACTATGTCATCCAAACGAAGTAGAACTGATTCTTCTGCATCAAATAAGAAAAGAAAAACTTTATCTTTGGAATGTAAAGCTAACATTATTAAAGACTTCGGTACAAAAATGAAAATTTGTGAATTGGCAAAGAAGTTTGATCTACCTGAATTGACGGTCAGAACAATTATAAAAGGTAAAGAAAAATTCTTGAAGTTGTGAAAAATGCTCAATCTTTAAATTCAAGCATCATTCGTAAACATCACAGCATTATTGTGAGATGGAATCAATGTTAAAATTATGGCGTGATAATCAAGTAAATGTGAAAAATTGTATAATAATATAATTTGTTATACATATGTGTTATCTAAGATTTTATTAAACATTTTTTTCTAAATTATTGTTTTCTTTAGTCTCTGGCCACAATTAAAAATTATTTATACGTATTTATATGCGAAATTATACCTCGACTTATGCATATTCGACTTGCGCAGTTATTGCTCGGTCCCACCTATCATGTAAGTTTGGGGTATTACTGTGTATATGTATATATATAAACTATTGTAAGTTATTCATTGATTTTTAACAATGTCTTCTTACAAGTTTTATTTATCCACACTTTTTGAGTGCCATATGTTTTATATTCTTGAAAATTTTTAAACCACATTAGATGTGTTTGAAGTTATGTAGCATATTTTCCATATACATTATAATTTTTTATTGTTTGTACAGCATTGTCCTTTTGGAAACTCATGAAGTATATAATATGGAAACTCATAATATGCCTGGTATGTTTTTTTTATTAAAGACATTACAATTTGATTTTATTCAAACAAAATGAAGTAAACAGTTTAAGGGGTAAGATTCTAAACAATGAATAAAATCTCACATCTATGTTAAGAGTAGACAGTATGAGACCAGTAAATGCAATTTTCATTTTATACAGTGTTTATACTTTTTTGTTGTTTTCATGTTTTAATTTATTATCAGGGCATTTAACTGTGCTTTTTTACCATAAATTATGTGTATTTGCTGTTTAAAGTATGCACCATCAAAGTTTGTTTTATCATTGTGTTGACCTTTTGGTCATCATTCTTTACTTTACACAATCTTATCTTCACTGACCTAGCACTTTATAAAAAACATTTTTAAAAGAAATGCAAGCATAAACATAGGGTTCAAATCACAAATAGATTTATGAACTTTAGATGTTGTCATTAGTCCTTGAAATGGTGTAAAATCAAGTTTTTTTTTAACCTAAGTGAATTATTATTGTTTAAAAAATTATGTAAAATGAAGATATATCAATACTATTCATATAAATGAATTTTATTCTACAATTAATCATATGTAATGCTCTTTTATTTAATGTTAAATGTTTGAAAGTGAGATTAATTTTTGTAGCATTGTGTGGCCATTTTTGACTAAATCATGATAAATGATAGAATTCTGAGGTGCATATAGTACTAGAATATTAAATTTTTGACTCAGTAGGAATTGAGTAAAAACTTGAAGTAATTGCCTTTAACATTATGTCTATGGAGAATTTTTAATAATTTAAAGCAGCACTGTAGTCATACCAGGGCAGTATAGTATCTTTGTACTTTTCAAAGCAGGTTGAAGCCCTTGTACTTAGTCTAAAATGCAATTGAGATGTTCACAATGTGCCTTGGCCAAAAAACTGAGAAAATTACTTTTTGCACAGTTTTTTGTACTGATTATGAATATGTAGGTCATTTTTGATGCACTTAAGCCATTTTGCAGCTATTGCCCATACAAAACACCATAGACAGAATGTGGTGATTTAAACTTGGGGCACCAGTTAAGACACTGGCAGTTTTTAATTTGACTGAACCCTTGATTTGAAGTACATTAACATTCACTGTTTTGAAATTTAATCATAGAACAAAGTGCATTGCTTTTGTGGAACATTGTCACAGCTCCTTGCTTCTTATGACATTGATTTTACTCTAATAACTGATTATATAGATGTCAAGGATAATGACTGTGATGCATAAAAGAAAGTTATCAATGAAAATGACCATAAAATAGAGATTAAACATTATGATTAAACACTCGACTTATTATTGTAAAAATATTTAATATTTATTTATTTGTTTAGACATTTAATAAGCCCAACATGACCTTCCAAAGGCATACTTGAGTATTCACACACAATCCAAAGAATGATAGTTTAAAAAATGTCCTTTTTTGTGACAAAGGAAATGTTAGACTTTTATTAAATGTAATTTTTTTTATTTTCTGTTTAATAAATGCCATAAAAAATACAAAAAAGTGACTTCAAAAATATAGATTGATTTTGATTTTTTTTAAGGTCATTAAACTTGTTTATCTAGTAAGTAGCAGATTTTTTAATCAGATGTATTTAAAGCAATTTAAAAAATTCAAGATGATTATTTTTATTATATTTATATATATATATATATATAATAAAAATAATCAAATCTTGAATTTTTATACAGTAGCACATTGATTATCCGACTCAATTGGGGACTCAGGTTGGTCGGATAACCGAAAAGAAGGAAAAAATTATTAGTATAGTATATTAAGATATTAGTATATCCCATGTAATTAGTTTATTGGTATATCGCTATTAACCAACTTTGCGTTGAATTTTCATCGATGTTTAGCCTAACAAATTTTTTAAAAATAATAATCGTCGCTATTGTATCGTTAAAAATTATTTTTAAATTATTCTATTGCTCATGAAACGAACAACCACTCATAATTAGAAAATTAAGTCCTGTTTAAATACTGGCCTCCCTTCAATGGTCGAGCCATTGATGCCAGCTAAAACACGCAAAAATTTAACAAAAATAATATTAAAGTAGCCAAGACATAGCTAAATATTGTAATGCCATATCACTAGCGGACATTTGAAATTTGCTGACTGGAACAGTCGGTTAACCGATGTGACGGTTAATGGGGGTCGGATAATTGATGCTCTACTGTATATATATAAACATAGGATAATTTAAGTATTGTGTTGAAGATAAAATAAAGATTCATAATATAACTTTTTAATGAATTTATTTAAGATTATTGTGTGAAAGATATAAGATTGCTCAATAATTTTGCACACCATCACATGCAATATTGATAAGGTTTCTAAAAATGGCTAGAGTTATCATGGGTCAGGTTCATAGTAGGAAATGTTTTTTCCATAGTTGCCTATTGGCTGATTAAATTGGTTCATGTGATTATTTATCAGGGATTATAAGTAGCGTTTTGTTTAGAAATGATCATAGCACTTTCAGTACAAGGAAGATAACTTAAAGCATATTATACCTGTGATACTTTAAAAGTTTATATAGATTTAAAGTTATATAAGTTAAATTTTTGTAGAAAGTTCATTATTTATTTATTTATTTATTTTCTTTTGTTACATGTAAGTTTTTTAAAATCTTTATGTAAAGTTGTTTTACCATTATGTAGTGTTAGCATTTTACTTCTGGAAAGATGTATTATTCAGTTGTAAATGATTGAAGATACATTTTTTTAAGTTTTTGCTTATAATGTAAAGTATATTAATTTTATAAATTTTTATATAAATACAATATTAAAATTTCTATTTTTAGCAACTATTTTAATATATCTTCAATTTTATTTCAGAAGTCCATTGCAGAGAATGATACTTGCTAGAGTCAACAAATATCCGTTAAGATTGTCACAGGTAAATTAATTGTAGCTATTAATGATAATTTAAAATACAAAGTTTGAATATTTTATTAAGTAATTTTAAAAATCAAGAAAAACTGTGCTATATTCAATAGCATTTTATGTTACTTGTTCATTTTATAAAATATACTAATGATATTCTATGAAAAATAATTTACAGTGAACTTTTTCTAGTACAATACAGAATAATTGATTTTATCAGTAAGCATTTTAGTTAGTTGTTGCTGATAATTTGTGTAATGATTATCATAAACTATTTATATGATTTTATGAAAATCTAGAATCAAGAAATTACATTGTAGTAGTGATCAAGGAGTTTGTTGTTAGTAATTATCATTAAAACATTCTTACACAAATTGTAAATTGTTGTTTATAATAAAATTAACATTTTATGGACTGGCAGTTAATCTTAATAGAATAACCATTAAAAATAAAAAAATTTTAAGAAATTATAATAAAATGTCATTTTTAATTTTAAAAGTCTGATGTGAATCAATCACATCAATTAAGATTTAAAGAAAAAATGCTTTAAACATTTTATTTAGCAGTTAATTTGGTTATTACATGTATTTTTTATGCAGGATTATCATTTACAAAATCTAATATTTGTATATATTAGATTTTGTAATCCACTTAATAGTGGAAGTAATAATTTTTTTCATTAAATGACTTTAGACATGTCATCCAGCTCATAGAATTACAGGTAAAACTTAATGAGTGGAATGCATTCAACTTTTATAGAAAAATGATTTTATGAGCAAGATGACTATAGACCAAAAAGTATTAATGTTTTTCTATAATTATATTTTATTTTTGTTGAATAAACTAAATTTTTCAAAAAACTTATTGAACATTAATGGTTTCAGAACAATATAAAATCTTTGTATCACAAATTAGTATGATTAAATTTAAGTTTCATATTTTATCAATTAGTCTATACTTTTTTAGATGATTGTATTCAAAAAGAAAAATAATTTTCTCAAATAAGTAAATGAATTTTTAATGAAAATAATAGTTTGCAAGCAGATTCAGGATATTCTTAATAAGGTGTTTAGAGGAATTTTTTTTTTAATAGTATTTGAAATTTAAAATCCAAATACATTAGAATAGTATAAAATTCTTTCACTGAAAATAAAGTGCCATCTTTGATATTATTATATAATGATTATTTGAAAATGCAGCCAGTAACAAAAGAATTAATGTATTATAGAAAGTTCATATATTTATAAGATTTTTGATTATATTTAGTTAATAAACATTCTGAAAACTGTTGTTAAACTATAAATTTTTTTCATCTATTTCAGAATATGCACCTGTTTGGATCGGCCATTAATAAATCTGATAAAATGTTTCCAATGGCAATGTTATTGGCTTCCACGGGATTGTTGCTCTCCATGTTCAGTGTACACCAGATGGATTGTTCTATTCAACCTAAGAAAAGATGGTTCGACAAATTCAGACCAACTTAATGTGTAAATATTTGTACAAGCAACATCATTTATTTAGACTAGTGCATAAAGACTTTGAACTAGGATTGACATGTTGGGTTTGACATGTTGAAACCTTTCATTGTCTCTCTCAATTAATCCATCATCCTGCTTAAACCAAGCTGCTCAATGGTGTATTGTTGGATTTAGCAATCTCTTCTGCAATTTTTGTGTGTGTCTTTTAGGTTTTTTATTTAATTATTATGTATTTTGTTCTTTAAAAGTTGCATGTACAGGTTAAAAGTTTTGAACCAAAATTTTCATGTTGTACAGATATATAAAAATAAATAGTTGTTCAATGATCATGATTTTACAAAGATTTTTTAATATTATTATTAAGCATAGTTGTATCTGATGTTGTAACTCTGTGATAACTACTACTACTACCACCACTTTAACAGTATTGGATGTGTGCCAAACCTTGACATTTTCAAGGCAAATTGTTGGAGTGTTTTTGAAGGTTGATAATACTATAAATAAAATATAAAAGAAATTTGATACTTGTAAAAAATTAGTAATATATTAACTATCCCTTTAAAGAAAAGCAGCTATTTAACATTAAAAATTTTTAATTTATAAAATTTGGTTGAGGTAATATTAAGTTAATTAAATTAGCTAATGTATTGAAATACTGTATTGGCTAATATGTTGACAGTCAATTTTTGTCCAAGACCTATATTTTTGACATCATGGTGTATGCCACATTCACCATAGATGTTCATGAATAGATGGAAGTTTGGCACAATGTGTAGGTGCCAAACTTCTACCTATTTCTGCCAAAGTCTATTCTAGCATTTGAATTCTGACAAAATAAATTATATGTACTATTTCTGTTTAAAAAGTGTGTGTAAAAAGATAATTGTTAAATTATGTGCTAATTAGGTAATTTTTAATGTACATTGAATGATATTTCTAAATGATAAACGTATTTCCCTGCAAATATTGCATATTATAAATATTGTGAAATTACATTTTTGTATTATTTTTTTTATCATGAGTTTTAAAATATGTTATCACATTATTACTTTTGAATCAAATAGTGATAACGTGAGAGTTTACTATTAAATACTCGCAGATAAAGAATTCTTAAGTAACATGGATTTAGATGTATATAAGACTTGTGTGATATAAAATTTGACCTTACGATTAGGTTGAAGGTTGAATTCTATATCTAATTAAATTAGGTCAAACGAACCAGTTTCTGATCTCTAGATTTAGACATTATCTTATATACTAAAAAGAAATTTGAGGAAATGTATATGAATCTCGAAGCACTAATATAATCTTAATGGGACTTATACTGATTTAACTTGTATATGAATTTGGGGAGATTGAATTAGTCAATCTCATAAGTTAAATCAATACAGGCCCTATTAATAGATTGTAGTCATGATAGTAAAACAATAACAAAATATTTAAAGAAATATTAATTAGAAGCATTAATTAACTTAAAGCACTACAATTGAATTTTAATCTGGATTGTATCATTTGCTGAGTAAGCTGTTATCTGCATTGAATAGATACAATCATATTTTTATTTGTTCTGAAAGTCATTTTTATTTGGTTTAAGGAATGGATGATATATGATTCATAAATATTAAGACTAAATATTTTTTAAAAAACCGTTATATCGAATTTCAAAAAACTTGCTACTTCCTGTTAAATTTTGTATATGTAAAATATAACTTGGCGCTTTGCAATTAAACATGTATAAGTTTTATTAATGAAAAGGATTAACATTAAAAATTTATAATTTCAGCAAAAGTTACATTACGTTTTATCAGGATTGTAGAGGAGGGTATATGTTATCAATCCCATACTTTTTCTTTCGTGAAAATGTACAATATATTCTTGAGACTATTTTTCGTATAACCAGAAGGTATATGATAATGAATTTACTTTAACTAAACCAACATTCATTTTTTTACAATTATTCGTTTTCTTTCTAATACCGACTTTAAATGTTGAAGTAAAATTGTAAAAAACAATACTGTTTACGCCTGCAGCAATTATATAAAAAGTACATGTACCCAGAATTCATGCTCTGTAGATTAGGCTAATTGCAACCCATCTTATCTAGGCAAATTGAATACATATTTTATAGAATGGAAGAGGTTTATAATAATATGTAGTCATTTGTTTATTAGAAAAAAAAAAAACATTAAAGGAGGAATATGCGAATGTAAAAAAATTAGGTTTTAGTTATGTTTAAAAAATAGTGGGAAAAAATTATATATGTTTTTGTTATTGATAAAAAATTGTAACATATACGAGGAATGAAATTCGATTAAATTTGGAACGCGAATAAGATAACATAAGATCAAATAATCATCCCAAAAAATGCACACTAACTTTTTTTATAAGATTTACATACGTTATGTAATACATTTAAATGAGGGTAGATGTATGAAATTCCAAAATTTTTTACAACTTGTTACATTGGAAAAAAAAATGTTTTTGCAAAAGGTAAATAATACCGTACATATTTAATATATTATAAAACGGCGTTGAATGTTTTCAGCTTTTTAAAATAATAATGTTTTGTGAAAAGGGATATTTACAATCCTATAATTAAGCAAAGAATAATAAAATTTATTCTAATTCCAAAATGTCACAAATTGTTATTGCTGACGAATAATTTAATAACGTAAATCAAAGTCTAAGATTGATAACTACCTTGTTCACTTCACTACCTTATTTAGAAATGTGTCTTTTATATTACGATTTTATGAATTTTTATGATAACGACAACATAAATTTGGATAAATTTTAAAGGTATTAATTTTTAAAAATTATGTCATTGCTCTCTATTATATTTTATGAGTTCTCCTGGAGCGTAAAATAAATAAATTGAGACCAAGTGAAATACAAGGAAGAGAAGAAGCTAGGTACTGTAACTGTCTTCCTAATATTTGATGGCTAAATAAGACTAAAGAGATTATTGTCCCTAAGAGCAAATAGCCGACTTGATCCAAAAATATTTTCCTTCTGTAAAAATCCTTGAAATGTCTTGCTTCTAGGACATCGTATACAGGAACTTTTGAGGCCAATATTTTATTTGCCTAAAAATAATCATTTTTCCTAACCGAGTAAAAACTGAATTGCAAATATATTGTGAAATGTCCGTTTTGTGGGATTACATTATATTAATTTACTCAGTGTTTTTTTTCCGAAATGAGGCATATTAATTTCGTTAACTTTAGTTCATGGACGTAAAAGTTTATATGAGTGTTAATAACTGATAGGGTATTATTTTTCAACGAACGATCTCTGTTGAAATTTTTGCTAATTTTTTACGTATTTATTTTAGCAAGCAAAACAATTTTCTACTTTTCTGGCTGTTATATAAAAGAGGGAAAGTGTGGCGATCGGTTAAAAAAAATGACACCCCAGATTTTTACATTTTTAGATTCGGGACTTTGAAACGTCGAGAAATGCAAAAAAAAAAAAACTTGTGGGTGTTTTTTCCTGTATGTATGGATGTTAGCGTGGGGCACGATTTTGTTCACCCTGTTTGAAGCTTAACTCCTGTACGTACTTATGTCGAAAATTTCTGAATTTTGCAGGGAGATTTGTTTATTAGGGGAATTGATGCTATTAAATTTTGGTAATTAAAAGTCGAAGGGCTGGGGAGATAAAGGTGGTCTTGTGTATCTCCAGTAGGGTCCGACTTAATGACGATTTTACTCGTTAATATTTACAGTTTTTTTATAAAACCCATCCCTCTCCTCCAAATTAAGCTTTTTGGCATTTTATAATAGTTAAAAATATAAAAGGTTTTTAAATAAAATATGATAACAGATGTCGCCGGGGAAATTAAGTAACTCGTTGCTGGAATTTTTTATCTTATGAGTTAGATCAGTTTCGATTTAGTCTTTCATTTGTCATTACGAAAATCATTTTAATTCGTTACACTCAATGTACAACAATCCATGAAATAAAATTAATCTTTTCTATTTTTTATGCTTGATTTTGTTTCGAATGAATTCATTCAATTAATTATCCAAACGTCTGAATGTTTCTTTAAACTAAATGATGTGTTGAATTTATATTAAATTTCGTCTTGATATCTAACAGGTGGTTAATCTCCAGTTCAATTATTATGATATGAAATTAACACGCGCAATAAAATTGATGCTAGGTATTTTAAATATTAAAATGATATTAAATTGTAAATTTGAGATGGTAATTTTACGCCGTATTAAATGTCTGGAATTTATAAAAAATCAAACAATTTTTACAATTAAATGCAAGATTAAATCGTGATTTATTATAAATTCGCAGGCCACATGAAAACTATGCACTTGGGTAACCATGCATTCTATAGGAGTAAAAGTTCTGAATTCAACTATTACAATTAATCACTCATTTATTTTATACATAGTTACCGGTACTTTGAAAAATAAATAGAAATAGTAATAATTCTACTAGAACGCTGTTTCATGAAATTATTTTTTCTTCCTAATTAAAGAACAATCTATACTGTTTTCGATTATGGTGCTCAAGATTTGTTCATCTTAAACGGAGTCCAGTGGCGTACCGTAGTGGGGGCGGCAGGGGCGGCCCGTACCGGGCGGCACTTTTTAGGGCACGGAAAAATTACCTTTTAGGGGGCGGCAAAATTTCACAATAAATAATAATATTTTGTAAAAATTTGAAACATCCTAATCTATACTTGCATCGCGCCTACGATAGTGTTATCGTCCGGACAGTCCGGGAATCGGCTCACCGTCCGGGTGAACTAGTAATTTTTTCATACGAGGAAATATTGCGAAACCTGTTGACCTTTTTTTTCTGCTTGTACGATTCATTCGCATTCATATACACCACTAATATACAATAGAACTGTTTTAAACAGGTCGCTGCACTACCGCCGAATTTTTCATTGCTTGTTCTGTGACGAAACTGGATTTTGGTCTTTTAAATTGAAATACCTAAATAAGGGGGGGGCGAAATTTTCCTCCGCCCCGGGCGGCTGACACCCACGGTACGCCACTGCTAGCAAGTGATTGCTTTCAGCATCCTTAAAATAGGGTGCCAGGAAATTCATCATGGCAACCTGAAAATTTTTCCCTACTATTTCCAAAGGAGTCCTGGCAGCTGTAGCTTTAGTCATATAACTTATACAGAACTGACTAATATATTTTTCACCTGAAGACTGTTTCGTTAGTTGATCAAATGTTTTCAAATCACACGTCTCACAGTCTGTCAGTTTTCAAGATAGCGCCACAAACAAACAGCAGAGCACAGCACAACGACAACGCTGAACCCTGCTTTCCTTTGTTCCCTCCACAGCCAATCCACAGTTTTCATTGATATATTGCACCAAAATGCTACGATATAACGGTGATATATCGAAAATCACTAGGCACGATTTATCGATATATCAATATATCGATATTCCAATCCCATCACTACCACCAAGAGCGCTGTATCTAAGATCACAGTCAATCTATGTAGTATATTCTAGCTAGTTGATTCCGTGTATATTCAATGAATATTCCGAGATTTTAGAATAACAAATACTTTATAAAACAAATTATACGATAATTTTCAATCAGTTAAATCAGCTTTTTAGTTGCTTTTATGCAATCTGTTCTGTAATGTGTAGTAGTAATTGTAAAGTTTGTACACCGTTTATTGCAACTATTATAGTACCATTCTATATAAAGTTTGCTATTAAATTAATAACTATTAAATCTTATATTATAAGCCTCATATTGTATTTTAAATTATCCCAGTACATTAAAAACATGTTGCGTAGTTGTTATGTAGTGATTCAATGTATTATTTTCAAATACAGTAGAGCGTCGTTTATCCGAATCAATTGGGGACTGGGGTGGTTCGGATAACTTATTTTTCGGATAACGAATCATGTACGAAAAAATATATTTATGCCATGTTGAAATTTCTCTCCGTTGCGTGTCGCTTCGCGTTGAATTTTCGTCGATGTTAAGCCTAACGAAGACTATTGTATTGTTAAAAATTATTTTTTTATTTTGTACAAACAAAATAAATATAGTAGACTCCCTATAACTCTGAGAAACATTCCTCATTATACGAATTTTGCGTTGTAGGAATCCTTAAATACGTGAGCCAATCACAGCCCGACACGTGTGAAGTTTACGGACTACGGCTGTTTGAAAGGTTTTCTTCCATAAAATTAATCGATTCTAGACTAATTCNTACAGTATGCAGTCTAGAACGATTTGATTATTTTTTTATTTTGTACAAACAAAATAAATTTATTGAAAAATATAAAAACAATAAAAAATTATACTTCATATGTTAATTTAGTATCAAAAACGTAAAATATTTGAGTAGCCCGAGAAATAGCCGAAGATTGCAGCGCCACAGCACCAGCGAAAATTTAAATTTGCCGACTGGAATGCTTTCGGATAACGGACGTTTCGGATAACCAGCTTTCGGATAAACGACGCTCTACTGTATATAAATTCATCGTAAAAAATTGCAATAAGCTACGAGCAAAAAATGACGAATAATGAAAACATTCTTGTAAATATAATTCAAGAATAATGCAAAACATCAAAACTAGTAGAAGTGATAAACCACGAGAAAACTGTAAGGTTATTTATAATAATAATAATCAATATTTCCGTACAGTATTTATTGAATTAAATGCAATATATTTTGTTATACATTGAAAAAATTTAGCATTTAAAAAGTGTTTTGAAAAAGTTGGTATATAAATATTATATATTTATTATTATTCAAACGTAGGGAAAATTAATTCATTTTTTTAAATTTAAAATTATAATTTTTAAATTATTTATTTATTTTTCGAAAGTATGAAAAAGACATACAGACATTTAGAAATACAATAGAACTTCGATTATTCGAAAGTCAGTCATCCGAAACGTCAATCATCCGAAAGAATTCCAGTCGGTAAATTTAAATTTTCGCCAGTGCTGTGGCGCTGCAATCTTTGGCTATGTCTTGGGCTATTCAAATATTTTACGTTTTTGATACTAAATTAACTTCTGAAGTATAATTTTTTCTTGTTTTTATATTTTTCAATATATTTATTTTGTTCGTACAAAATAAAGAAATAATTTTTAACAATACAATAGTCTTCGTTAGGCTTAACATCGAGGAAAATTCAACGCGAAGCGACACGCAACGGAGAAAAATGTCAAGATAAGATAAATTAATATATTTTTTCGTACATAATCGGTTATCGAAACATCGATCTTCCGAACAACCCCAGTCCCCAATTGATTCGGATAATCGACGCTCTACTGTAATATTTTTATTTAAAAAAAAAAAAACGTAATGTTACTAATGTAAAAATTACAAAAACTGAAAACGTATTATTAATATCGCATATTAATAATACGTTTTCAGTTTTTGTAATTTTTATATTATTAATATCGCATATTAATAATATAATAAAATATATAATTAAAACAAAAATAAAATTTCTATAAATTAATACGACTTTATTCATTATTTATTTATTTTTAAAATATGAAATGTTATTACTTACACTAGATGGCGTTAAACATTTTCTTTTCCCGGTTTTAAAATGAGAATTGGAGATGGTTTATGTCGGTATGGATTTTTGCAAAAATTACACCATTTAAGGAGAAATTTTTTATCTATTTTGAATTATAGATTATCGTCCAATTTATATATTGTTAAAGTAAGTATTATATTTATTAAATGTACTTATGTACTTTAAAAGTCTTGGACAGTATTAGGCCTAATTTGAGCATAGTGTCGTCTGCTTCACTTTAAAATTGTGATCTGATTAAATAATCGTGAAGTATTTACTTCAATAAGTTATTGATAACGTTAAAATACAATATATAGATGTAGAGTATGTTTAAAATAGACTTATACATTTTTATTTTATAAAAGTGAAGAATTTTTACCATTGTATTATCTTTTTCAATTATAGAAATATAGTTTTCAACAGATTTGTGCCTTTAAGTCAACATGTGGGAGAAGTGCTTCTTTTTGCTTGACAAATGCAAGAAATTTATATTGTTTTCAAAAATATTGTCAGACGTTTGCTGCACATATTCCTGGCCATGTTCCTAGCACCTCAGCTACTGATCTGTTTAAATTTGTCCAATTGGATATTTTAAAGATTTATGAAGATATTAGAAAAGTATGTTACAGCATGATTTTTGTGCAGGGTAATCTTTTTAAAAATTTTAAATATATTTTTTTAAACAATATTTAATTATAATTTTACTAATAATTTATGAATAAAATATTATTTTTAATAATAGTTTCATGAAACATGTAATTATTTTATCTTGTTTTTAGGAATTAGAAACTTCAACTAAAGAACTTAAAGAAGTAACAACATATTACTTTGATGGAAGTGGAAAAGCATTTCGTCCTTTAATTGCAGTTATTATGGCAAAAGCATTAAATTATCATGTATTAAATTCAAACAGGTAATTTCAATTAAAAAATATATGTTTATTTATTAAAATACAAAAATGTTGTTTAAGAAAATTTTACATATTTGTAAAACATTGAAAATAGATTTCGATATATAAAATATTTAAGAAAAAAGAAAAAAGTGTAATATTACTACATTCTTTTTTATAATTACAAAAAAATGCAACATGTATAATTTTTTTTCTTTGACAATCCTTTGCACCCTTTTAATGAGATCTTGCTTTCATTTAAAAAATGTTTAAAGTTGCTAAACAATTTAAAAAAAATTTTTAATAATTTTATTTTTATTTAAAAAAATCCATAATAGACTTTTATATATTTCACACCAACATTAATCCAGTTAACATTAATTTTCTTATTTCTATATATTTCCATCATAACCACTGCATATTTGAATTAAAATTTCAGATAAGCAGCAGTTATTTGAAATTTCTTTATTCTATGTTTATTTGAATGTAATTCTATTTGAACTCAGCTGTTTAACTGTCTAGAAAAACCATTCTAATTTCAAAGATCCCTGCCTGAAGACATGTGGAAAATATTTGCACTTTTGTGTGATATTGTAAAAAATGTATTTAAAACATATTAGTTTAACATCAGAAGACAGTAATGCTTTCTTAAAGAATTACTGTCTTCTCAATACTTCATGATATTTTGATTTGTACAAATATGATTTTTTAAATAAATCATAAATTTTGACACACCCACCTTTGCACCTTTTTCATTCCAAAAGTACTGAAGATATATTAATTTTGTTAATGTAGTTAAATATAAAGTCACATATAGGGAATTAGATGGGATCTTTTATGACCTTGAAAATGATTTTCAAGGTCAGTCCAATTACATTAACAAAACTAATATACAGTAGAGTGTCGATTATCCGAAAGTCAATCATCTGAAACGTCAATTATCCGAAAGAATTCCAGTTGGCAAATTTAAATTTTTGCCAGTGCTGTGGCGCTTCAATCTTTGGCTACATCTTGGGCTACTCAAATATTTTATGTTTTTGATACTAAATTAACATCTGAAGTATAATTTTTTATTGTTTTTATATTTTTCAATATATTTTTTTGTTTGTACAAAATAAAAAAATAACTTTTAACGATACAATAGTCTTTGTTAGGCTTAACATCGACGAAAATTCAACGCGAAGCAACACGCAACAGAGAAAAATTTCAACATCGGATACGTTAAACTATTTTTTCGTACGTAAATCAGTTATCCGAAATATCAGTTATCCGGACAACCCCAGTCCCCAATTGATTCGGAAAATCGACGCTC